CAAAGATACCCTGTCCCGTAGATGTCACCGGCGTAAACGGCGGCTCCGTCATATTCTCCCCTTCCATCACTCTTTGAAGTATATAAGTTTGGCGGTGAAGAGTATCAGTCGACGGCGAGAAACTGAAATAGCCGGCGGCTTCGAGGAAGGAAGAAGTTAGGGTTTAGGAAAGCGGAGGAATCAGAAGTCGATGTCGCGCGATTCAGGAGGTATTGATAGATTAGATCGTGGATGATTGGAAACGATGGACGGCTAAGATTAGTTAGCTTTAATTAGTTAACAGAAAAGACCTTATATTTTAAAATAAATGCTGTAATGGCCCAGAGGTTTTATCTGTGATTTGGGCACCCCGTAACGTCTGTTAAGTGTTAACCTACGCGTTGAATCCTTTTTTTTTTGTACACTCAGAAATTAAACACTGTGTTAGACGCACGTGGGTAATGTTTTAAATTCAAAAAGTATGTAGAAAGCCTAAACATTACTAGAAAGTAAATTGAATGTTGAGTCAACAGAATAAATTTAGTGACAATAATTATGAACAATCCGACAAAAGAAAACAACACTAAAAACGTTTGGTATACGGTAGCAAAGTTTTCAAACAATGTAATCTATGGTCGGAGCTATAATTTTGGCGGTCCATAAACTAAACATTCTCCTAATTTCTTAAAAGCCATTTTTAAAAATATTTTTGGTGTTTTTTATTTTGTGGACTGAAAAAGGTGAGCGAGTGACGACTCCGACCCACATGTGCAATCGTCCAATAAGCCAAGAATTACGGCAAAACAAATACTACCAATCTTGTTTAAGTCGCCGACCTCAAGATATAAAAGGACCATACCTAAGATTTTATGGAATAGTGACATTTACGAAATATACTATGTATAACAACAAATGGATCAGAAGAATCAATCTAAATAAGTGTTGGCAAATGGAGTTATGACGTTAAATTTTGCAAAGATTTTGCGTTCTATTGCTTTCTCAAATCACTTTACGTCCTAGATTTTTTTTTTTTTTTACAT